AAGGAATATAAAAGTGATCAAGTTTTTATCTTGTCCTTTTTTCCTTTGAGTCTTGATCTTTATGTTGATGTTTTTAGGCTCCAGGAAAATAATCTTTCGCAAAGAGGAGAACGTGTCTTTTAGAAACGATGACAATTCAGTAGCTCGAGGGTAGTGTACTACGTACTGTCGTTATTATTGTATTGGCAGAAAACTTAATACGGTTTAGAGATGAACTTCATCTTATTAAAATTTCCTACTCTGTTAAAGGGAAGTTCACATTTAATATTGTTCGGTTGGAATATCTTATTAATATTGTAATAAAATAACGTTAAGCAAAATAACACCTTTTGCCTCTAGAGGCAGGCGTTAGTTTGACAGCAAATTATATTTATTTAGGCCTCGTTGTCGGAATCTGAACGAATTTAATTTACTGTATAAACCCTTTACCTCGTCGAACATCTTCCCCACAGAGAAAACTGAAAAAAATGAGGTAATTTCAGTGGAAGTTTGGCAACGTCCTGAAGCTTTTCAATAGACTTTGAAGAAACAAAAGCCTCATGCAACAACTGAAAGATAAATGCCAATATCTCTTCTCGACGTTATATTGAATTTTACGTAAGAAAATAAATCGTAATCTCCGCAATGATTAATCATGAAACTTACCGAAACTTTTAAAAGATAATAGCTAATGTTATTGAAGGTTTGTGCTAATATCAGCCACCAATCACACGTCAAAACCAGGTAGGTTCTGCGTATACCTTTTAATTGTTTGCCTTACAATAGCACCAGCGCATTTAGTAAGGAGAACAGGAAATTGAGAAGACTTTCCTGTGTTAAGTTAATTAAACAAATAAATTAGTTGCCGTGTTATCAATGCAGGACAAAACGGCTAATTGCTCCTAACTACCAGTGGCTCTGCTGCCGTTAAAGTGTGCTATGAAAAGTGTAATAGTAATTCATTCCTGTCCTAAAGAACTTCTAAAAGGCGACGCAATTAACAGTCATTCATCTTTTTTAATATTTCGCATAGTAGAAATTAATTGATTTCCAAAATTTAGACCAGTAAGGCAATACCAAATCGCTCCTGTATAAAGAGAGCTCACAAGGGAAAGTTTCCTTATTTAACTAGAATATTTGACAAAGAAGTCGAGCGTTTCTCTTCTCCCCTTTTACATTTATTTTTTTAAGTGGAAAAAGCATGAACAAAGTAACCAAGGTGACTGTGTTGGTTATGATTTGTGCGATTCTTATATTGCGCCCAACTCGCGGACAACGACTACGATGTGGCCCAGGTTCTATGATTTGTGGACGTAAACGTTCTTTTATTACAAAACAGGTAAGGAGGAAAGAGTTCATGCTGTTTACGACGCCAAGTCGTTAATAATCTTGATTTTAGGCCCATCATACTTGAATTACATGTGTATAAGCTAATCCAATAGATGCCAATTCAAAAGTCTTGTAGTTACCTAGCATTCGTTCTTTGAAACGGTCTTTCTCGACAAGAAAACTTACTTTTGGATCTGATTTACAGTCCAAAATTACTGAGTTTGGCTTGGTACGATTTTGAGAGACAACGAAAGGTCTGGATCGAAAGCGACAAGAATTCGGTATTCGAGTAACGGAAAGCACTCCTCGTCAACCATATGCGTTCTCGACTGTTAAATCACGGCAACAGAGGCGATAAGGAGTAGAATTAAAAGCTGCGTGATTTTATTTTATTTTACCTTTAAAAACTGCCAGGCCATTAAAATTTTTATTTTCTCTCGCTGCACTTGCAAATCAAACTTTGTTCACTTTAGTAATTTGTTCACTTTTATGTATAAAAGCACGCTGCCACTGGGAGGCAAACTTAATAAACGCCTTCAATCTCCATGAAAACAATTCTCAAGGCTAAGAATTTGCGAAATTTGAAATATGTCAGTGAAACATCAATAAATAAAGATACACCATTGCAGAACAGCCGATAACAGCGAAAGTTAGTTCGGGCGGTGCCTGTTCAAAGAAATTGCTTTTTCAGTGCAGTGCAGTGCGTTCGTTTTGAAACATGTAATTTCTCCTATCCTTAATTTAGGCCTCGTCAACATTAAGCCGGAGAAATTTGAAAACGGCGTATTCGCTCTGAAAACGCGTCAAATGTTTTCTGTCCACACTACGCCGGAGAAATTTGAAAACACAACAACCACTGCTCATTTTGGATTTGTGTTTGAGGAAAACTCGAGCAGGAAAATCACATGATTATCGTGGCGCCGTCGTTTTCAAAAAGCCCCCTGACAGACTAAAATGCATCGCCGGCGTTTTCAAATAGACCATTTTAGCTTGGGCCGTTTGTTTTCCCATTACAGACCACGTGGTATTCTCTAGAGAATTGTTCTTCAATCCATCTAAAAATTATTCATTCATATATATATACGCAACTATTTTAAAATTTGAAAGCAAAATTTTCAAGAATATCATCACATGGTCTGAAATGGGGCAACAAACCTCCCAAGCTGAAAAGGTCTATTCCTCCAGTTTGAAGAACGTCTTCGTGACCGATTAGTGTAAACGATAGGCCTAACTGTAAAAATAAAGTTGTGTTTTCAAATTTTCGGGCGTAGTGTTGACGGGGTCTCATTCATCTTCAAAGTTATCATAAAATTCTAGCCTTGGCATCGGTTTCGTTACGGGTATCCTAAGGAAGAATCGCGGCTTGTAGTTTTAGTATAGTAGTACAGTAGTAGAGTTGGTGAAAGCAAAGACTGAAAATGATTTCCTATGAGCAAAATATCTAGAGCGGAGACTGGTTGTAGAACAATAAAATCCAGCTTTATTGACTTAACGATCATATTATTGTACCGTTCGTATTACAGCAGTTTAAAGCACCACATGGCGCAGGGGCCTAGGTTAGCCTCATAGGTCCCAGAATTAGTGACCTTGCTTAACTTAGATAAACCTTTATAACTGCTAAATTAGGTTGGTTGTGTTATATTCATGTTCTATTAGGAAAACTTTTGACTGTCGGTTTGATTGTTCATCTTTTTCAATCGATATTGTTTGGAATGGTTGGCAAAGAAATTTTCTTGGTCTTAACTCGGGAGTGTGCTCCAGATTCATTTCATACTGTCCTTTTTCCGAAAGTGTGAAGAACGCAACCGCACAGCTATTGGTCAGCCAGGTCCACTCTCCTTAACTAAGGCACCCTTCCCAAGCATTCTTCGTAAGCGCTTGTATTCAGTTAATTAAAATGTTTTCAAACAAGGAAGCAACAAAACCCGTACACCCCGCGGAGTCCAATACAGTAAACACAGTATCTCCGTTACCATATTCTAAACGTTTTAAAATTTAATTCAGGTTTTTGAATTGTATATTCTTCAAAATGTAAAATTCAGACTTGATTTCACGGATTTAAATTCTATAATTTCCCAGTTACTTTCGTTGTCATTGTTTATTTTTGTTGTTACTAGAACATGGATTTAATCAAATTATATACTTAAAGAATCAGTGCATCCCTTAAATGTTACGTAATATACCAACTAAGCGACTACTTCTATTTCACTAATTAGAAACTTGACGGTCCACTAGAGGATGCCAGGCAAGCTACAGCCAGACAGCAGATACGGGATACGAATCAAAGATCCATCTTAACCAACCTGAGGAGAATGCGCATTAACATCTAGCGGTCCAAGAAAAGACTGTGATAAACAAAAAAGACGCAAACGAACTTGAAAATTGATTAATGATAATTAATTCATTTGTTATATTACTTATAAAACTGTAACATAGGTTTGAAACGATTCAATAAAGAATATTACACAGCAAACAACTCCACGGCTCAAGATAATCGTGGCAAATCTACATTCAATCTCAAGGTTTAGAATGTCGTGCGAGTATGAAGTCTATGCAGAAAGATAAAACATACAACAAGCATACGGTTAACCATACGATAAGCATTCGGTGGGTTGTTCAAGAGAGAATTATAAGGACGGGATTAAATAGCTTGTCTTTATGATGGAGCTATGCCAGACGTACCCGCGGATCAACAGGTCTCAGTCATGAATTAACAGCAAGGGGCCACACAGGACTTACTCATAAATTTCCAGGAAGAGGGTATACCAGAGGTACTCATGAATAAACAGAAAGAGAGTATACCAGAGGTAATCATGGATAAACAGGAAGGGACAATACAAAAATAAAGTAACAGGGACGGGCTATACCGGACTTGTTCAAGTTTTACCCTTTGCAAATTAAGTCTTCACCTTGCCTTATTTTACCTTACTTTAACCTTACCTTACCTTACCTTACCTTACCTCACCTCACCTCGCCTCGCCTCGCCTCGCCTCGCCTCGCCTCACCTCACCTCACCTCACCTCACCTCACTTCACCTTACCTTACCTTACCTTACCTTACCTTAACCAGGAGCCTGCCTTAACTTATCTATACAGGGCGTAAAAAAATGTTTAATGCTCAATGTAATGTGTAGGTTGCAGCCTGGATTTTGAAAGGTAAAATAAACACAAAAAAGAAAATAAAAACAACTCTTGTGCTAGAACAAAGCCTTTTCAGTTCTTAGTGCAAACGGCCATGAAGGTATTTGCCTCTAATATTCGATATACATTTTGTGCTTCCATTTCCACTTTTCTATGAACATTGAAAATCGAAGCTCCAATTATATCACACTCTGATTACTTGTTATGTAAACATTTGTAATCACATATTTGTATTGCGAAATAATTTAATTGAGAAATAGAAAACATGTACCGTGTTTCTACGGAGTTATAGAAACACGAGTGGAAGTTTGGGAGAACAAGAGATGCTGTGGGAACACCTGCGGCTCATGTTTCCACAGCTTTTTCGAGTTCTCCCAAACTTTCACGAGTGTTTCTATAACTCGATAGAAACACGGAAAACACATTTTCTATTTCTTTTAGAAAACACCGCGACGAAGAAAAGGAAAACAACTTGTTAACTTTGATTATCAAAATGTAAATTATCTTTGCTCGCGCTATCATTACGTCAACAGCTCGTACTAGTACTAGTTCTGTGTTTCCATCGAGTTACAGAAACATGATTTTTAACCAATCAGCGTGCGTATTTTCTTAGTACTGTTTTCTAACAATATATACAACAGTAAATAATCATCACCATCATCGAATTATTTCATATCGTCATCATCAGACTTTGCAATCGTCGTCGACGTAGGCAATGACAGTTTCTTTCATGTCTTTGCCTCTGATGCCATTTTTCAACATGTTACACTTCCCCTGATTAGTAACAGGCTCTTTTATACCGTTCAGATCGCTTTGTACTTATGTGGAAGTTATGTCAAATGCATGTACATTTACGTCGTTCCCAGTGCTCGTTTGTGTATCGCAGTTTCTTAATTACCAGTGATTCTTTTCTGCTGCCAGTAGAACTCGTGTAATTTTTCGGCTAAGAAAAGAAGAATTGACTTATTTATTTCGATGTGCTCCTTAATGGAATGGTAGTGGATCCATATTTTAGGGGACGTTTTCGTAAGGCCAGCCTGAAGTCGCGTTTAAAAAACGTGTAGAGCAGAGGATTGGTGATGGATGTCATGTATCGAATAATAACGATTACTTCGACAGCTTTTTCCATTAATGCTGAACTGCCTGACTTGAGCTCGAGGGAACGTTTGACGTACGTTGCTAGCGTGAGACTAAAGTATGGCAGCCAACAAACTACAAATATTGCCGCCATCAATGCAAAAACTAAGACACATTTTTGGTCACTGATGTTTTTCCGTTGCAATCTTGATGATTTTCTATTAATTGACGGCCGTTTTCTCTTGACAATCACTTTGAACATGGCCGTGAATGCATAAATCATAAATGTATACGGGACAAGGAATACCAAGACAATGCACAATGTGGCATGGATAATGTACCACGTAACCTTTGATTTACTTTCATTCCAAGAGATAGGTATGACAGCAATGAACGCAGACGTGATCCAGATTCCCACCAAAATTTTCCACACAGTTTTCTTGGTTACCAAGTAGTGCCTGAGTGGTCTGACAATTGCTAAATACTTTTCCGCGGTTATGGCGAGTATGTGATAAGCAGCTGATACGGCCATAAGATTGTGCAGGATATACATACCATAAAAAAAAATTGCTGACGTGGCTAGTGGTTCAACATAGGAAGAGAAAAGAATGAAGTATGGAATGTTGATTGTTCCTGTCAAGAAGTCACATATCGCTAGACTCAGTAGTAAGTAGTTAGATGTCGTACGGAGGGCTTTCCTTCTGTAGAAAATGACGAACACTAGTCCGTTAATCAAAGTTATTGCTATGGCAACAGGAAGAACTTTGGATAACGCTTTGACACCATAGTTAGGTTGCTGTTGAACACCTGAAGACGAGGTGTTGTTATCCATACTTACTCCAGTTACAACCCGAATTGAGGCAACGAAATCTAGAAAAAAAAAAGAACCATTCCGCAATTAATCTAGCTCTGAATGATGGGTCTCTTTATGGTATCCCGGAAGTGGTTATCTGACTTACCTGGTCATCGTTGTCCACTCCCCATATCCCTCTCCAAGGTTTAATAACACTGATTATTTTCGCACTCAACGAAAAATTTGAATTAGAACTTACCCGATTTCCAACCCGGCTGCAAGGCTGTAACGACGCGTTAATTTTTCGAAGATTTTATCATTTTTTTTTTTTTCATTTTAAGTTTCCTTGTTTATATATTATATGGTCTGACTACAGCCTTGCAGCCACTGACCAGTTGATGCGATAGAAGTTTTAGATCTATCTCCTCTGATTATTAGATCATGATTCGCTACTGACTAGTTATCCTTGGCATAACTGAAGAAAAACAGTGCGCTTAGGTTGAATTTATCCTTAAGAAGAACCAGTTACAAATAGATATTGCTGGTTGGCTGAGGGCCATGAGCAACAGAAAAGAAACTATTAACCTTATTCACATGAAACTGCGTTTTCAGCGAATTACTTTGAAAAGGTACCTAAAGAAATAGTAAACTAAGTAGCTAGTTGTTTATGGAAATACCCAAAGCAGTACCCTAAATAAGTGTTTTCCCCGCAAAAGACGCAACGAAAACGCAATCTCGATCAATGAGTCAACCCTTGGATTTGATTGAATTGGATTGGAGTATATTGTGCTTCTTCGACATTCAGGTTCAAGCAATCCAGGTTAGAGCAGTGGTTCGGCATTGTGTTGTATAGTCTTGCTTTGCTCACACTGTTTCTCTCTCCACCCATTGGGTAAATATATCCCGTTAAAACAGTGCTAGCAGTCAAACGCTGGTGAGAACCTCTGTCTCCTCCACACAAGCTTCTGGTGTCATTCACGTACAGGCACGTTTGGAAAGATGTGAGATTGGGGATACAAGGCGCGCATTGAAAAACGGGGGGAAAAAAGTACATTTCACATTTTCCCCGTTGCTCTCCCTGTGCCATTTCATTTATTGACCGATTGGGAAACTCAGCGGCAGGTGCTTGACAGGCGATGGACTGGTATCCCACCCAGGGGAAGCGAAAATACTTGCCGTTAAGTTCCTTCATCCTACAGAAACCTAGAAAACTTCTGGGAAACTTACTTGTCGGGGAACCACAATCTCACGAAATTGGGAAGGGAGTAAGAGTTTTGACTGAGATCTCAGTGAAGCCTCTTAAATCCTAAGCTCAGTTTTAGATTACTATTATTAAGTTTAAATATCTACTTGCAATTCTGAGTGGAGTACAAAAGAAAAAACGCAATTGTACATTTTTGGCAGCATTGGAGCAAGAGTCCGTTCAGTTTAAATGTTTTTGCTGTTGATAAGCGCCAAGACGTTTTAAAACTTCCCCAAGCCGCCAAGACAATTGAGAATGGTCGCAGCCTACTTGCTAGTCTTCACAGGTCTTCATAATAATATGAATAAAAAGAGTTTTTATACTTTACGTTGTTATATTTCGCGTTACAGACATTTTTACACTTTACGTTTAAAGATTGTTACATATCTTCAGGGGTAAATAATTGTTACATTTTGCGTCAAAAGTTGTATAAACATCTGGCAGTCCGACGTTGAATCGATGCGAACAGTTCTCGGATCGTTGCAGTTGAAGGTGTCTACAAAACGAGGACTGAAGACCGAGGACCTTACACCTAAAACCGAAGACTTAATTTTTAGGCCTGTTAAAGTACTTTCTGCCGAAACGCTTTGCCAGACGCTTCGATTTTAGGTCTTCGGTCTTCTTTATAGTTTCTTGTTATTGTGTTTATGATCTTGTTTCTTCTTCTTACACACGTTAAGCCAGGTTTATTGCGATTCCTTCGGCTATTTTCCGTATGATCGTTACGATCTACGCCTTCTTTTAACTCTTAGCCGATTCATAACTGTATAACAGACTTAAAGTATATTCCGTATATCATTTCCTCAAACATTAATCCTTATTTCTTTGGTTATGATTTTCTCCATTGATGCATACATTTCGCAGTTAGCATCCTCAGTTATCTTGTTCCCGGGCAATTGTTTCAAACAGAAGTTATAAATAATAATACTTGCTCTTTAGAATTTATAAACAAATCATTTTCCATATTGGACCATCTTGCGTCCGAAGAGAGCGACAATCTCAAGTTGTTGTCGACAGACCTTGGTCGCTTTTTGAAATACAATATTTTTCGTCTCGATGCCGCGGGGGATCCGCTAAACCGTCTTTTGAAAAGGAAATTTCGTATTTCAAGCCAGAAGTCGCGTTTAAAATATGTATACAGCAAGGGATTTGTGATAGAGACCGTATATCGAATAATGGCAAATGCTTCGGTAGCTTTTCTTATCGATATGGAAGTGTCTGACTTTACATAATCGTTAATGTTAAAGTGCCTATAACCCCAAAACATTTTTTTCGCCTAATCAAATCTCTGTATGGAATTGGGAAAAATGNACGCATTTATCTGGCATTTTCAAGATTTCTGACCTTCCGAAGCGAAGCAAACGCGGTTCCAAACAAGAAAGCGATCAATGGCCTGGAATGACGTCACAAGTTTCGCTATACCCAGACCCTTTTCAGTGACTCTGTGACTCGGTCGTGTTTTGAAAAAGTGCCATTTTTCCGATCTTTAAAAAATCATAAAAAATCGCGGTTTGAACCGAATTAAAAAATTTTTGCGACATTTTTCCCAATTCCGTACAGAGATTTAATTAAGCGCAAAAACTTTTTTGGTGTTATAGGCACTTTAATTATCAACATCATGGCAAAATACGGGAACCAGCAAAGTGCAAAAATTGCTGCCATGATGGCAAAGATTAATACACACTTTCGATCGGTAATGTTCTTATGTTGTAGTCTTGATCTTTGACTACGTAAGGGTGGCCGCACTCTCTTGCTGATCATTTTAAACATGACCGCGAACGCATAAATCATACATGCGTATGGGATGAAGAAAACAACCGAAAGACAAATTGCAGAATGAATGATATAACAGAGAAGACGAGAAGAGCTTTCATTCCAAACGACAGGAATGACTGCAATAAGTGTTGATGTCATCCAAATCTCCAGCAAAATTTTGAACACATTTTTCTTGGTTACCAAATAGTGCCTTAGTGGTCTCACAATCGCCAAGTACTTTTCGGCGGTTATGACCAGTATGTGATAAGCGGCTGATACGGACAAAAGTGTGTGTAGGATATACTGAAAATTGTTAAACATAGCCGATGTTACAACTTCGAAAGAAAACACAATAAAGTAGGGAATGTTGATTGCTCCTGTCAAGAAGTCGCAAATCGCCAAACTAAGTAACATGTGATTGGATTTCGTACGAAGACTTTTTCTTCTGGAAATCAGGGTGAGGACGACTCCGTTGGTCAGAATTATGGCTATAGCAACCGGAAGCAGAGTGCACAGCGCTTTGAGACCATCCTTACGATGCTTGGACAAATTTGGAAGGGAGCTGTTGTTATTCATGTTTACTTCAGAGGAAAATTTGACGAAACGTTGGATATCTAAAACAAAATCATGAAGTTTAGTTCATTTTGTATATCAAATGTGACACTCTTCTAGGACATTCAAAAGTAGGGAAGGGACTGTGACTAAGCCAAGTCGTTTAGGAGTTTGGACATGCCGATGAGACCTACTGAACTTGGTAACCCACTACGCCAAACCTTAGGAAAATCTAAACAATGCTAAACAAGAATTCAAAGCCACAAAAAGACACATTAATATTTTGCGTTTGCTTAGAAATGGTTTATCATTGTCACGTTTGCATCTTTTGATAAAAACAAAATAGTATAAAAGGATCGATTGTTTCACAGGCCCCTGGTCTCATATTAAACATGTCACACACAGGCTTCTGCTTGCAAATTAATTGTATATTTTCAGGTTTTCGAATAGCACCCTTTTCCACATTTTCAACCACGGTTTGCTTGGTCATTTTTCAAGACATAAAATGGGCCATGATTCCGTTATCTTTGATAGAAATTACTTGACTTGTCGGGGCGCTTCCCTTTACCAAACCGAGAAAGGTTTATACCGTCGCTCATTTTTCCCTTTGCAAACAATTAAGTATACTATATTACATGATAAAAAAGGCGCTTCTGGTAGAGAAAAACTACATGGCTGAATCACTGGCTTGTATTTTGCCTGAGGGCACCTGCCTAGAAACCCAGATTTTCCTGGAGATTTACTGGGGTTCGTCATTTAAGACAGCTACCGATTGCGATATCACTTACCGACAAAAAATAGCTTCAAAATCCGCGTTCAAAAAGTTAACAATATTCTTTAGCTATGCCTTGATCAGTTTCTTAACGTCAGCTCTGGGAAACTGAACAAATTAGTTCTCAGAACAGGTGAGTGAAACGATTATTATCTATCAAGCCAATCACATATCAGGTTGTAAAAATATACACGGCTAAAATGTCTAGAAAATATCAACCGATAATAATCTATATTAGAGCATGACACTAATGAGTTGATTCTGTGGCTTATATATATATATTTTTTTTGAAATTTGAGTTCTCAAATTTTACCATTGCCCTGATAAGGAATATTTTTAATCCCTAAACTCTGGCTTCTAAATAACAAGAGCTGGAAATGTGTGTGCTATCAAGCTTAACTCTAATTGACAGTAACTAACATGGCAATATTGTTGGTCGAGGTCTTGAATTCATACGGCATTTTGTAAGCATTTCATAATTCACAGCACCTGAATTTTAAAATTATTCGCTTCCTCAGATAGAAGAAGCCGCTTCACCGCGTACTTATCCCGAAATAGAGACGATGAAAGATTAATAAGGCACCGCGAGTGATTGAACTTTAGCCGAGGGGAAATTTAGAACAAAAAAACAAGAACTAAGTGTTTCACTAATTAGATGTGAGTTTGTACTGTGTCTGCCATCTGTTTGACGATGGGCTGCGTCAAAGCAATTGCCAAAATAGCTCTAGCTTCATTAAAAAAGTAAATTGCCGAAAACGTTAAGAAACTTTAACCAATGGCTGCCTGTTATTTTAAATCAGTAATCGCCATCGTTTGATTGAGTTTGGCACCTGCGTGATCCGAAGAAAGATAAAGAGTAAGTTGATTGGACATTATTGAGAATATAAAAACCAAAGGCCACTTTTGCAAAGATAATATCTGCTAACGAGTTTGTTTTCTTATGAACCGAAGCAGCATGCCAGTGATAATAACGAAATTTCGTGCACAAAGGGTATTTTCTGCTAAAAACCTAAGTTGGGTTTCTAATGTCGCGAGTCTTTAAGCAAAGCAGTGGCTGAAGTTTTCTTTCCCGCGTGAGAGAAAAAAAATAAGTAAATTCAAAGTCACCCGTGCAGGAGGTAGACGGTAACGCAGTCCATTATTAAAAGGTGGAGATTTCAACTGGTCAAGTTGACTTATTTTCTTCTTCAACTTTCAGTTCTATAACAAGGTCAGGCATGAAAGTTGCCATACACTCGGAATGTACAGGTTCACGAAACGAAGTGTTCACATAGGCAAAAGGCTGCCCCCTGAGGCAAGTGTCCTGCAGCATTCTTAACGTGCCTTCAGAGACACATTATTTAATTATTTTTTAACCACTAAAGGCGTCTGCTTGAAACTGAGAAATGTGCCCAAAGAGGAAACGTTTAGCAACAGTTTCCATTCATGTTATTGTTACAAACATACACCTTGTTGTATCATACCTGGTGATCCGGTCGGTTAAAAGTGGGCATTTCATTTGCCTTGCCGGTGGCAAAACAGACATCAGGCTTCTTCAGTCCGCTAAAAAGTCTTTTGGAGAGTCGTCCTAGAAGTTGAGAAAATTCTGTTGCACGACCTTAGTGTTTGCCGACTTGTTCTGAAGGGCTGTAGTTTTAAACTGATAAAACTTCACACCATACAACCTGAAGTCTCAGGAACATAAATTTCCGCCATCACTGTCCTGTTTGCAACCAGCCACATTAAATTATTTATTTTGTCAAATAAAAATTATTTTTTAAATTTCGCTCTTATGTGGTGAATTTATTTTTATTTTCGAATGTTGTACAGAGGGATGCAGAAATACAGACAGGGGGTCTTGCGCGGGATAGCCCTTAGGATGAGGTTAATCAATCTCATATCTGGGGATGACATTGCACACAAATGAAAGATCCATTGACTAAAATGGTCTTCTTAGGTCATTTTAGATCGCCTTCTGTTTTATTATGGACGGTAATGTTTGCTATAAGCCTTATTCAAGAGAGGATATATTAACATTTTAAAATATTTCAAAATTTAAATCTAAAATTTTCATCATAAACTTAACTTAATTTATAATTATTGTATTAAGGTTATGATTAACTTAGTCGACAGTGTGAGTCCAGAGTTCAGAGTCCAGAGTCCAGTTCCTATCTTCCGGCTCGCCTTTGGTGGAGAATGCCACGTTTGTCGGGGGATTATTATTTGAATTAAGAATTTAACAGCAATAGCTTGACATGAATTCTCGACGAGTACAAAATTTGGGGTACACACTCAAAGCCGCGTGTAGTTGTCCGTTTTATAATATCTGGCTGTCTTCATAATAATTCTGGCTTTTTCAATAATGTGGCAACATGAGAGATATAAGAGTCTTTCGCATCAAATGGTTTAGCGGTGAATTTTATTTCTGAATCAATTAGCAAGACAAAGCCATTTGCAATACATAGATGCAGATTATCAACATGGATATGGCTAAGCTGTAACATAAAACTTTTTGTCACCTGATGTGTTGAGTAATGGGGAAAATACGCGCTTCACAGCACATATTAAAAGAACGGGAAAATGCAAAGCAGTTATCAAGTTGATGCGGAATATCCATGTGTTTGTCACTCTACCGAGTTCGCAATTTCTATTATTTAACACATCTCAAATTTACAATAAAATTAGTTAAATTAAAGCAACTTTGTAACTTTGTGAGCGAACATTCAGCATTGCGAACAGTCTCTTTTCATTCGCAATGACTCATTTCGCCTTGCAGATGACGTTCTTTTTTTAAATTTGTTTTATTCACGGTTTCCACCAGAAAGCAGGAACAAGGAACAAAGCCGTTGTTATGAAATCCTTCTGTATATTTACCGACTAAAGGGATCGTTCATCTCGTTTTCACTGACCAAGGTGAACATCCTCTTTACGCCCCAGAATCTTCCGTTCCAGTTTGATTCATTTAGCTCAGTTTGATGTTTAACTTCCGAAACAGTTCGAAGAAAAAGCTACATAACAATGCACTATCATATACTGCATATTGCTATTTTCATTCCATTTGCGTCTTTGTCTAGCGTCGAAAAATGTACAAATTTAAATACAAACCGTGCTCGCTGAATAGTTTCTATTACGTTCGAATACTTACGCAATTGCTCAGCCCAAGAAAAGTACGTTACAAAGATGAAACGAAAAGAGAAACAATAAAGTTGCAGATATAAAAGAAACTCAGTTCTACTTACTTGGTTTAATATCCCTGCTGTGGCCCGATGCTCTGTTCATGCAGATCCTGAACTGTGTGGAGAAACCGGAAGTTTCAACAAGAAAAGGTGCAATTCTCCTTCTTCAATTATGGTTTACCACCGTTAAATTTTACACTGTTTTGATCTGTAAATAGCAAGAAATCCACTGTGTTTTGCATTATAGAGACAAGATCCAATATGTATATAAATCTTATCGGTATCATTACATCATATGATATAATTTTGAAAGGCATAAGTTCTTTTCCAAGCCCTCCCACGTGTTTTGCGGTAGTTTTAATTTGACAAGGAAAAATTTAGTAAGTCGGGAAATGGGATTAACGTAATTAATAATTGAATAAAGCAGCTGCTAAGTTCTTAAAAAGTTTTGGCTCTAGAAATCAACAGTATTGTGGTTTTGAAATAAATAACATATTTAGCTCGAAGCTCGCAGCTAAAACTTCAAATCGAGCGATACGTATACTGGTGTCATTTACGTGGTCTCGTGTGGTGCGTTTTGGAAATTTGAGATGGGTCCGGGGTCTGCTTACATAAATAATGTTTTTGAATTGTACTTCAAATTGTAAAGACCATAATAATAATAACTGGTAATAGTTATCACTAAATCTGCTCCCGCTTTATTTTATTTCTGCTTTATTGTATGAACTAAAAATTTTATTTTTTTTTTTTGTAAACCATATCACTCATACTGTTCCAGTAACTTAGGCATCTTATCATGAATATGATCCAAACAATCAACTAAGTAAACTAAACCAACACATTCTGTTCAACTCTGACATTCTATCACATGATATTCTTTACATAAAACTCTCACGAAACATTTATAGCAGAGAAGTTTATCATATCTCGTTAGAAAGGACGCAAAAAGTACTTTCTGGAAAAACATAGGTTGCCTTCATGGAAACTAATATTTCTTTTACAAAAATTTCACTCAGTAGAACTTTGTAGGGAGAAAAAAGCTAGTTAAAAAATTATAGCGAAACAAGAAATTAGTCAAACTACGCTGCTGTTCCAATTGATGCTGAAACAAACCATTTGTCTCGATACACGAGCAAACGTATCTCGAAAGCAGAACGAAAGTCGGGTTCTTTTCTTCGAGACGTAAACAGGAGTATCGCGTTACATTCACCATATATGCAAATTGGAGCCTCAACGAGAACGTTGCAAAACAGTTACATTTACATTTGGATCCTTGCAAAGTCACCCAGCCCATACATGAGCTCTACGCCACGTAGGATTACTCAATACAAATACGTGATGCGAATAAACGATATGTCAAAGGTAAAAACTGGCGATCGGAAGGGCATTTTGCCATCTAGTTGCAACTGAACCACACTGGCCTTGAATTTCTAGTATACTTCAGAATTTCTTACGATACCCTCTGAGTTGTTTTTCTCCCAAAATCCATCTTCAGGATCTTTGAAATCGTTTTCAATTTGTCCTAGGTGAGAATCTCGGCCATTTCGAGGCGAATTTATTTGATCGCGCTAAAATCGTCATGCAGGCCATATTGTAACTGGAGTGTACTTTTGTTTCGTTTCCTCAGAAACGAAACGGTATTGTTTTCAGTTCAGGGGTGAACTATTTACATAGTGATTTGTAATATCCAATCAGAGTAAAGTTCGTAATTGTTGATGTAAACACGGTGGAAATTCGGTCATCGCAACAAAATGTGGCGTTCCGAACATTTCAATTGCTGCTTTATTCGAAAATGGGGAATTACGACTGAAACTCTCGTTTCTCGTTATTAAAATACACAAGAAATCTACACACTGGACTTCTATTCGGATAGTAATAGTGAAAAGGAAGTTTATTTTGGAGGTAGAGAGATCGCCAGACCACGCGATTTGTCCACTAATG